ACCTGGTCAGGCAGGGTGCTGGTACAGTCCTGGCCAAACTGCTGCATCCTCCACAGTGCGGGGCGGCTGAGACAAAAAGAAATCTGAGAAGAAGAGACCACTGTGGATGGGGAAGGAAGAGTGAGAAAAGAGGAAGGGTATAGAGGCTGGGGTCTCAAAAATAGGTGGTGATGGCCAGCAGGAACCAAGGCATTTAACACACACGTGGACATGCATCAATGCTCTCCACAGTGACGACTTTGCATCCAGAGAAGCAGCAGGTCAGGACCAGCACCCCTTCTCTGAGTCCACAGGCTGCCCCATCCAATGGGCCCCGTGGTCGGGTTGGGACAAGTTGCTGGTTCAAGGGACATGTGGTCCAGCCTTCCAGTGGGTGCCCCACTGGTGTACAGGATCTGTGACCACGCAACACCTGGGTAAGTGTCTCATATTTTTCATCTCTGGTAGGGAATGGAAATGAGGAGGTTATTCTTTGCTGAAACATTCTGGAAAGTCATAGCTGAAATCTCTCACTTGTCTCTTCCATCTGTTTATTTTTACCACTTAATAACATGTCTGTCTCGTCAACTATTCCTGACACTGTGGCGAGAAAATCCAACTCAGTGAAGACAGTTTTATCAAAGAGACATTAGCTCTTCGTTACTGTGTGACACCACGTCAGTTCTTCTTGTGTGTATGAAGTCTGGTCTGTAATTTCAAAGAGCGTCTTCTATCTCTTTGAAGAGGTGATATGACCAATATATTTGAAATTGTTGATTATTACGCAAAAGGTTATCCAAACTGTGAGGATAAGAAGCAACTTCAAGCATTTCAAGGATTCTCATCTGTTTGGTGATACGCTTTTCACTGCCACATGATGTCACGGACCTAATTTCAAGCAATTAGTAACAACGGCAAAACAGTCATTAAAATAATCTTTGAAAGAGGAGAGAAGTCTGGAACCATACGAGGAGGCTGTTCTATCAATAATTTCTCACCATTAATGAAGTCCAAGTCTGCCGGCTTCACCGTGACACCAAACCTGCTTCTGCCTTTGCTTTCCAAAGAGGCTTCCCAGCGCCCTGCAGATGGGTAGCTTGCCTGAATGCAGGTCAAAGGTGTTTATCTTCTTTTTCATTTGATTAATTTGGGGTTTATTGTCTTCGCACTGGGTGGCTTCACTCACACCTTTTATCTAAAACTACCCTCCTGCTTTCATTCTTGGATAATCTGCATTTTGGGGAGGCGCGGAAGAACTGGAATCTGAACCATCTTACATTTACAAATGAACTGGTTTACCACCTTTTCCTTATTTTCTAGACCTGCCATAAGTTTCTGTTTTTAAAAGTTTTGGAACCAGCTGAACTGAACCACTGTCCTCATTTGCTTTTTGGACAGGGAGCAGGGATATTTCACGGAAGCACTCTTGCATCTCCCAGTGTGCTTGCTGCTCAGAACCACTCAGAACACGTATACTCTTTTGGGCATATATTCTGGTAGCAGAATCACAGAAGCGTTGGTTGGAAGGGACCTAGTCCAACCTCCTGTTCGAAGCAGGACGATTGCCAACGTTCGGAGAGCACTGCCGTGGGTGTCTCCATGTGCAAAGCATGACGGATAAAGGCCATCTGTGACACACCGCCTTTGGTGGCACCACCTGGATTTAACAATTGGAGACCTCCTTACTAGTCCCCAGTCCTGCCTCTTCAGTTACTGCCGTGTGTATGGTCCTGTTATAGGAAGTAGACTGACACCACCTGGTATTTCAGAAGCGATCTTCTGCTAATGACCTAATGAGTGCATTTTAGAAAGAAGCGATTCCTCTATTAGATCAAGTTCAAGAGATCACCCTATTCAATCCTCGTCTACAAGGAAGGTAGCATAACTGCTAAATAACATGATAATCTGCCCTTTGGGAAGCTCCTTCCTTCCCTGAGAAGGAATGGCCACCAAATGCCTTCAGGATCTCTCACGACTGTATGAGAAGCTGCTTCCAAAAACTAGGGAAGGAGGACCAAAACTGCATCCTTGACTCTTGCAGTTTCCCTGTATGTCCCTCTCTATGTTCTGCTATAATACTGCGCCCATCCTTCCCCCGAGGGGCCATCCACACCCTGACCGAAACAGGTTGCCTGCGTATCAGGAGGCTCTTCAGACCCTGCTGTCCTGGGATAAAAGACAGAAAATTCTCACGGTTGGAAAGTTTCACATGCTCCTATGGTCAGAAAGGCCAGAAAACAGTATGAGATTGGCCCACAGCATAGAAAACTTCAGGTTGCCACTTTGAGACCTATAAGCAACAGCAAACAGCATCTATAGTGGGAAGCATCAAGCAAGAGTATCTAGTAAACAGCACCACTCGTTCTGCCCTGTAATGAGCAGCAGCAAATGATCTGGCAGGTTCTATAGTAGTTATTATGGAAAATCTCTATCAAGCGGAAAATAAAGAGAACCTCCCAGTTTCTAAAGAGTAAATTCAAATTCACTCTTGTGTGAGGGAGAAGGATTTGTTCCAAAAAGCTGGAAAGGGCTGAGATGGGAAGTGAAACAGCTCAACATTGACATTTTCCCTCAGAAACAACTTCAATGAACTTATGCTTTAGCCATTGCCCCAGGTGGGCTCCCACACTGCTGCGCTGCAGACATTCTGTGACCCCAGTTAGGGCTTTCCCTAAATTTGCCCAAGGGGAAGAGACAACTCTGGGATGCTCCTTCACTGACATGCAGGTGCCTCGGCTACCCAGAGGTGCCAGGAAGATCCTCCTGGCACGAGGACATTGCTTTGGTGTCGCCTGCCTCCACAGCTGTATCCCTACCTGGCCTGAGACATGAACCCATCGCTTCTGCTGCCTTCGTACCCCCAACTTGCTGGTTTACCTGCGTGACCAGTTCTCCAGGCACAGAAAGACCTGCCTTATGCTTCTCTCTCTCTTTGGCTGAGGCTGGAAAGTGGCTCATCTGGGACAAATCTACCCTTTCCTTGATTTGTTCACAAAAAAGCCAATTGAGGACGAACCTTAAGGAATCTGCTGTGAACAGAAGGGTGCCAGGCTCGGGTATATATGCCAGTGCACATCTAACACGCTTCTCCACGCTTCTCAGCTGCGTGCTGGGTCACTGATTTTCCAGTAACTAAATGAAACAGACAGAAATGGCATTTCCCTGATTTTCACTGCCTTGTTTTCTCACTCCTTTTGGGCACACTCGCCTTATTTTGTCAGGAACTGCCAAGTATCAGCAAACGAGCTGAGAACTGCATCCCAAATGAACTCTGTAGCAGAAGAGCACATCAGGCTGTTGACCAAGGTCCTTCCCTTCAACACATCTGCATTAGCAGAGAGGGGAAAAAAAAAGGCATCTATCTAAAAATAAAATTATCGAGCATTTAGGTGCTATTTTTATCAGAGATTAATGAGTGTTTTAAAGCTTCGCTTCGCTCGGTGCTTCTCAAAAATATCATAACAGACTTGGGTGAAGGGAAAGGAGCTGTATTGCCTACATAAATGCTTCTAAATGCCGAGTAGCTCTTTGTAGCCTCTGGGCACAGACTGGCCCAGAAACAATAAGAAGCAGAGGGCAGTGGCTGTGGTTGTGAATGTGTAAGTGAAGGTAGGGAGGCAGAGAGGGAATGTAAATTAGAGCTGATTTCTGGGTCCCACTTTGCCTGCAGTTGTGCATCTAATGACGCAGTCCCAGCCTTTAATGGGTCTTGTAGCCCTTCTGGGAGAATCAAACTAAGTAATGGACTGGTTTTCTTATTAAAGGTAGCATGAAGACTAGACACAGGGGAGTCCACCCGTACTACCCAGCCACAGGGTCTTGTCCAGGCTTCCACCCTGCAAAGAAATGCAACGGGATAGCATCAGATTTCCATGGGTTTGAGTTTGGAGATATCACCTGCTACTTCAGAAAATATATGAAAAGGCACGAAAATCTACTCCAAATCAACAGGGATGAAGGGATAACCTGAAATGACATAGCAAGATGGGTGGGATACATGCTGTCAGGTGAGAAAGAGAAGTGGTAGGAAGAATGACTGCTTGTTGCGGGTTCCGTGCCGTGGCAGAGAGCAAGCCAGAGAGATGCAGCAGCAAGAGGTGAGGCCAGATCACACAGAGGTGGGGGAAAAGCAGCATCGTCCAGGAGCCAGTGTGGACGGAAGGAGCGGCAACGAAGAGAGAAATGTGTCGAGTGGGCAGAGGCTGTTGGGACTACGTGGCCACAGGCATGCTGCGAGCAGAGCAGGAAATCCTGGTGCATTGCCCGGCGCTGGGTGCTCCTTCCTTCCCACCCTTCGGCTGGCCACAGGGAGCTATGGAGCCCAAGGACTCTGGCTGCAGATGGGATGCAGTCAAGAGAAGCGCAGCAATCTTGGAGGAGTCGTCTGTCCTCAGCGCTGGGAGATGGAAACACAGATTCAAGAGCAAATTTCCTGGCACTAGATCGTTATTCCGCCAGGGCAGTTTGGATTGCACGTGTAGGGTAGAGGGATGAAGGCAGACAGAGCTTCACTCTCTCCCACAACAAACCCAGCTGGTGGCAGGGCAGCAGGCTGTCGTGGCCAGAGACCCAGGGCGCAATCAAACCCCACCTTTGCAAGTGCTTGTGTTCTCACTTACACTGTCGACTGAGGTGCCCTGGTAGCCCCGGGCTTGGCTGCAGGGTCTCCTTGAAGGAGCAGAAATGCTGGTGACAGGGACAAGTCCTGTGGTTGGCACTGGGACAGGAGGCCTCCTAAGCCTGACCCAGCCACCCCAGCACCACACTTTACAAAGGAGACTGGATAATTCACAATGAACCCTGTCGCTATTTTATCTACACATTTCACAGGACATTATTTCATCCTGTCTAGTGTCATTTGATCCACCTTCTAAATCCAAACTTCAATATGCAGTTACCTAAAAAAGGAAACAATCCTCACACGTAAGAGCCTAGAAGCTGGAGTTCAAAGCATAAAAAGCCAGTAGGTCAACATTAAGTCACACCCTGGCAATTAGAGGGGAAAAATGAAGACAGTTAACTCAGCGCCACATGAAGCTTTGTTTGTTCAAAAACACCTATAGTGTTTTACTCAGAAAAAAATAAACAGCCTCACTTTGAAGGAGATTAACATTCATGGGAGATGACATTTGCCATCATTATGTGAGCCAGAAACACACATTTTGCCCCAACAGTATAGGAGAGTGTGCATAATCCTCATAGAGGCAACCAGACTCCCTGCTCCCAATGCTTTGGGAGACTCCCAAATGCCTGCACAGCCATTCACACTGACCTGACCCAAGTTTCTGCTGGTGTTGAGCTGATCTTTGGTTCTCCTTTCAACTAATGTATTATTTTATGGTTTAGCTTCTCTATCAGTCCATCTTATTTAAACAACATCCTGCATTTTTTTTTTTCTGAGCTTTACATTTTTTCCTAGGAGACTTTCTAGACTTCAGCCAGATGGGGCCTCTCTTCTTTCCCTTGGCTCTACTCACTGTCAGGAGAATAAAAGCCTCCTCTGTTCTCTTTGGACAGGTTTCCAGCACTTGTAGCATGGTTTATCTGGAAGGAACATTTCATATTTTTCCATGTTGCAACAGACACCATAGATGGAGATGCAAGTATCTTCACTGCTGAAGGAGAACCAAAACTTAGAAAATGCTCTCTCCATCCCTCATTTAGACCAAGACAGAAGACAGAGCTTGGACACTCTCCCCACCTCGCCATCCTTAACTTCTCAGGAAGCCTTTGATCTCCAAGTTCTTTCTTTCACAGGACCACAACAGCCAGAAGGGACCTCTGGCAGTCTCTGATCCAGCACCCTGCCAGCTTGGATCAGTTCATCAGCACCTTCTCCAGTCCATAGCCAACTGTCCTCCAAGGATGACGATCCCACACTTCACTGGGGTCACTGGCCCCTGTTGAACTATTTGATCACCCTCCCAGGCCCTTGCTGAGCAATCACCTGGAGCTATGCTGAAACCTTTAGCAAACAAATATTAGAGGAGCAGGAAGGGAGGGGACACTGCCCACTCGTGTTACCCTTTGGGCCCTGCTCATCTGTGGCTCTCTCTGGACAGCTGGTTCTCCATGAAAGGTAGTGCTTGAGGTTGCCCACAGTGAACGCACAGACAGGCACTCAGAAAAAAAAACAAATTTGCACTAATAATAAATTTTTTGAAGTTCTTTCTCCTCCTCCTTGGTCTTTTCCACCTCTCACATGTAGGAAATTCTGCATCTGAGAGGAACTCAGGACTACACAGGAGTTAACACCCTTTAATGCCACTGTGTACCACACTAGAAGGGCATGTGTAAGTATACCTGTCCCGTGCCTGTGGCTGATGAAAAACCAGCCTCCATTGTAAACGCACACTTGACAGAACATCTGACCTTCCTTTTCCTGGCAAGCAATTGTCTTGCCCCAATTATAAATACATTCTTCAGAAATACATAAATGCATAGCTTAAAACCTGCTTTGACACAGGCAGGACTTGCAAGGGAAGGAAACCACACTGCAACCCCAGGGAAGAGCTTATACATTCACACAGTTCCCTCTGGCTCCCTTGGTCAAGCCTTGTGTCCCTTGCACAAGTGCGATGAGAGTCAGCAGTCGTAGCTGGGTTCTGAGGCCTTGTCACTGCTATAGCACGGGTCTGTAGTGTTTAGGGGGTTCTCATCACATCTAATGCTGTAACGTTTGCTTCCAGGCAAAGCCTAATTTGCAGAAAACATCAGGCAGTGCCCTTGACTTTAAGCGACGTTGGGTTTCGCCCGGCGATGTTATGACTCGTCGGGTGGCCCTGTCCTCTGCCAGACACAACAACTACTCCTTGCTGGTCCCTACTGCGCCGGGGCTACTTCCAGCGGGCCTCAGGCCCCGCGTGCCACCGGGTGCAGATGGGAGAAGACTTTCCAAAAAGGCAGATTTGGCCTCATTTGGCCGGGGCGATCGCCGAATCTGGAAAGCAGCTGATGGATTCAGATGTATTTAGCACTCAAGTAACTGCTGCCTCTCTTAAAAACAGCAGTTCCCAAGGCTGAGCACGCCAGCCTGCGGGGGTCAGGGGGAGTCCTGCCCCGGGCCAGCCCGGAGCAGTGCTGAGCAGAGCTCGCCCAGGTCGCTCTCATCATTCTCCTCCGGCTCGCTGCTGGAGTTGGAGGGGTTGCTGCTGGGCAAGCTGTGGCCAGAGCCTGTCCTCAGAGATGCCTGCCCCTTTGGGTCCGTGCTCAGCACCAACGCATCCTGGAGGCACACGCTGCCTGCGTAGGCAGGAGTTCTCTGGTAGTTCTCTGGCGGAGAGTAATTCCTCTGGCTGCAAAACTGCCCTAGCAGAGATTTCTGGAGGGTTGTTTGCAGGCTTTCACAAGTCCTCTGCTTCGTGCTCAGCTGGGTGTAATGCAAATTCAACTGCAGGACCATGTCAGTCTGGAAGAGGGAGAGCAAAGGACAAAGTGAATTGGAGACCAAGACTTGAAGCAGAGCTTTTCTGCTGTCGCTGCTGTCAACAAAAATGACAGACTTGGCTGGCTGTTCTGCAGGCTCACAGCCCCATGCTGTGGCGTGATGGAGCAATGTTACTGCCAGAGAAAACGAGCTGTGACAACGCTCAACATTTGTGGGCCTCAGCCATGGTTTCCGGATTTCAGGACTTCTCTTGAGATCTCATCGGCCTGGTCAGGGCACTGACACTGAGAGAATCACCCCCAGGGGCTGGCCTAGGGGAGCAGGAGGGGAGAGGGACTGCACCCACATGAGGAACAGTGTGCCACCCACCCTGGCCATGGCACAGGACCGATGCACAGGTGAGAGGAAAGTATGCAAGGGGAGGGATATAAACCACTTCAATAAAACACACATCACACAGTAAAAGCCAACAGCTTTAAACAGCAGAGCTTCACAGGGATCCATTCACAGCCTAGCACTACTTTAGATTTTTATAAAAGATGGTGAAGAAATCAGAAAATAACCATACTGGTGGCAGCCAAATCCCTGAACATGAATCCCTAGCATGGGGCTGTGCCTGAAACGCCTGGCTGTACAAAGCAGGGAGACGTATAATGGAGGAAGAAGCAAATTTTGGCAGGCAATGCAGGGTCCAGGTCTCATGTCTGCACTTAAAAGCAATGCAGAACACTTGGGAAGGGTTCAGAAAAGAGCTGCCATACGCTGAGGCACGTCGTGCACCCAGCAAATGGAGCTCATTGTAGGTAGATCCAGGCAGCAGCTCGAGAGTAACATTTGGTGTGAGCCTGCGTGGAACAGAGCAGATAAGCAGCTGGCAAGATTCACTGGCTGGGTGTTAGAGGGGAAAAAAAAAAAATCAGCTAAGAAACAAGGTGCACACTGCTATCTAGGGAGAGATAATCTGCTAGAAGAGACAAGCCAGGGGACTAGCAATTCTGCCTCTCTCATGGTCTTTAAATAGTTCAAGGGTCTTTTCAAGTGTGCCAGAGAGGCATAGCTTGGATCAGGCTTGGTAGTGTCACCCTGATGGAAGGGGATAAACCTTCCCACTGCTCGAGATCCCAGCCAGCCCACGAGCCCATCTTTCAGGCACGCACACAGCCTAGAGAAACATCCTTCATCTGAAATATCTGGGCTGGTCTGATCTCTCCTAGGCTCATACAGGCAAAGAACAGCCTCCCTGGCCAGGCAGCACAGCAAAACAGAGCAAACCAAGAGAAAGAGGATGGCTCTTGTGCCCTGAAGATCAACAAACAACTCTAACAGTGATCTGGATGTTACACTGACATGGGCACGCCAGGCATTGTCCGCATGGGATCACAAGACCCAGTCAGAGGGGCACATCCAGCTCGAGCCAGCGGGGATGGGGAGCACCAGTTACACGAGGGTGCAGGAGAATCGTGGAGATTTGCACCTTGCAGCTCTCTACCTGGATTTTTTGTAGTCCACAGAGCTGGAAGACGCAGTCCAGCTCCTCCCGCTTGTATACAGAGGCGAGCAGAGACTGCACTTGCTGCAGGCGGCTCTCTTTCAGGATGGTCACATCGCCCATCTCCTGGGTCAGGAAAACAAGAGGAAATGCAAGGAAATTTCAGCGCCAGCATGGACATGGAGGTGCAACTACCCATCAAACATGCTGCTCCTCTGCACACAGCAGTTCCCAGGGCTGGCCCGTGCCCTCGATGCATTGGCTGGTGGAAATGCTGCATACCCCAATGGAAGTACAACAGGCATGAAACGGAAATACAGAGACTTCACACACTCACCTTGTGCATATCAATGGGAAGACCTAGCTAAACATCCCCATAGCACATCTACCGGGAAAACTGGTATAATGGGATTTCCAGCAAAGCAGATACCAGCAACAGCTACTATCACAACCACACGTAGCATAAGCGGTGTGTCAAGGAGGGAACAAGTGTTCCAAGGGCATAGCTAAAGGAAGCTCTGAGTTGTGCCGGGTGCTGAGTTAGCCCCCCACCATCTACACAACTGTCAATTCTTGCTGAATTACTCAAACTTATCCAAAACAGCCCTGTCTCTATGAGATTCTCTTCAGTAACAATCATATCTTGGAGCTACTAATAGCACAAGAAGGGACAAAGGAATAAAGGCCTTATGAAACAGCATCTTGCTTTGGATTTGAGCCCTCTAGGATGGGCAACAGCCCACGGTCCACCAGCCCCTTCCACGAGAAGGTGCTTCCCTCTGCCAGCTGGCTCTGGCAACTACCATGGTGTGATCCTGCTGTGATGTCCTGGCCTGGCTTTGGCTGTGGGAGCTGAGCAGCCTGGGCAGGCTTGCTGCAGCCACAGATAAAACCAGTGGCGTGTGAGGAGGATTTGACCCTTGCAAAACTTTCGCACCGTTGGCGGGAGAAGTTGCACTGGGCATGCTGACAAAAGAGGCTATTAGGACACTGCAGGGAGGTAGAGGTTAGAGGTGCCCTGGAAGATCTTGCTAGCCTTTACAGACGTTCCCTGAACTACTGCCTGTAAGCAGCCAAAGCAATTTGTTTCTGGCCAGGAGAATACTGGGGGTAGAAGCTAAAATGTTGGATCCCAAATGCTGGCTGGGATCTGCAGGCATCAGGGTCACTCCTGCTTGCAAGGCTGGAAGAGCAGGAGTAAACACCACTGCCATAAATACCATTTATCTCTGTACAAAGCAAAGCCAAAGCCTATCTCCGCACTTGGTAACTCATTACTGGAAAGATAAACTGGAGGGAGCTTAGGGAAGATCAGGGCAGACGGGGAGATGGGGAGGACACGGCTCACATGGGGATGGAGCAGCGCAGGGAGCCTCGTCGTGGTTCCTTCCACCAGCCTGAGCTGTGCCTGAAACAGGAGACAGGCTGCAAAGCAGAGCACCTTCTGCAAACAAACACTGCCCTCTCCTGCTCTCTCCTTCCCGGCCTCGCTGCGTCAGGTACCTGCTCCCAGCTACCCTTATGCTGTCACTGCTATGCTGAGCCCAGCAGACAGGATTAAACTAAACCTGGAGGCCAAAGAGAGAGGCACACACCAGTTCAGCCTGGATGCTACTAACACAGAGCTTCAGCAGGACTGCAAAAAGGAGCAGAGTGGCCCTAAGGCATCCAGCAAGCTCCGTCCTCCAGCACACGCTTAAGGATGCGCATGCCACCAGCCCTGCCCAGGGTGAGCCCACCCTGCCAGCCCCCTGCGGTGGGAAAAACAGCGTCTTTCCAAGTCAAAAGTGGTGTCTGTGCTTTCAATAGCCTTTAGGGACTCTGATGAAGGTGTTAAAGTAAACCCTGCTAGACTTGTAGTACCCATGAAATCCTAGTCACTAGGAGGAAAACAGTCCACGGCCAGAAGTGCTCCTCGTAGTCACCTCACCACTAGTCCCCTCTTTTCCCTGAAGCTGATGATGCCACAGTGCTCTCCTCCAACCTTCTCCGCAGCTGCCTCAGTGCTGGTTCCTCACATTTCTTTTGACTTCTGCAGTCCTGCCTTCCCCCGGTGCATTCCCACTCTTGCAGCCTCTCCAAGAGTGGCTCCTCCGGGGACCCATCAGCCTGTCAGGGCTGGGGTTGGGCCATGTTCCCTTGTGTCTCCTTGCAGGCACAGATGTGCTCTGGATGAGGTGACCTGTAAGTGCCTGCTTTTGCAATTGTGTTAGCAGCCTTTGCAGACACTGAATTTTCAGTGATTAACAGCGCGGTCGGGTTTATGCTAGCAGGGCTCAGGTCTGGGCTAATGCACTGGACTCTTCTACCAAATGCCTGTTTATCGCTCTGCAGTTTTGAGACCCTTGAGGTTGGGCCACACCTTTTTTCAGCCTAAGAAATACCCAGTGTGCTACAGATGTGACTAACGCTAATATAACAATATCCCATCCTGAGTTAAACCACAGCTCATGAAAAGCCCAGCAGCGTCAGGAAGCTTGGATGGGGTGAGCCACATGGCCTCTCCGAGTGGGATGAAGCCAGTCCCAAACACTGAACATCCAAAACAGACATGCCATTTCTCTCTGGCACAGACCTGGGACCATCTCAAAGTGAAGGAGCAAATGCTCAGCACTGTGGGGAAGTGCCCAAAGTCCCTTCAGCATCCACACAGCGAGGATCTCGCAGCAGCCTGAGAGGTTAACTGATGAAGTGACTGCCGCATTCAATGATTTTGGAGCCGACAGCCAGCCATGTGCTGCTGACCTGTTTCTGCACATGAGGTTCGGCCTGCACCCTATTCCTGAGGCCGTGACACTCCCCACCAGGATACGGACCTTAAAGGAGAAGGGACCAAAGGCATCATGTGGCCCAAACAACACAGATTTGGTGACACGCATCACACCCGACAGAGGCATGTCCACATGCTCTAAGGGATCCACATGGATGGTGATTCTGCAACACCTTCAGGCAAAACCCCTCTCAGACATTCACTCTTTTTACCATGAAAATGTCACGTCCTCTCTGGATCTTCTTTACTGCAACTCAAGCCATGACCTCCTTCCATGTTGGAAACAACTTTTTGTGTATTTGAAGGCCTCCTATCCACTTTTGTTTCTGTTTTTTTTTTTTTTCTTTTTTTGCCTTTCTTGCCTAACCCACAATTCTCTTGCTCCTTCCTTTTATTACTCTGGATGCACTTTAATTGGCACACTTTTTTCCATGGAGCACGGCCCCAAAATTGGACCCAGTACTCCAGCCTCAGCAACAGCAAGGGAAGCCAGAGAGGATCTCACACAAATCTTGGAGCTCTTATTTACAACCCTGGCACCTTTTTCTGCCCCACTTTTTTTTTGCACCAGCTGTTATGGACTTTAACTAGCATTGGTACCCCACTCGTTTTCCATCCCATGCTTATGCTACTGCTTATTCCTGCTCACATGCAGGAACTTGCATCTGCTGAGTAACAGCCTTGGCCTCAGATTGCATCTCCAGTTTATACAAATCCTTCTAAAATCTAACCCTGCCTTTTAGCACCTTGCAGGGATGCCCAGTGTTACTGCATCTGTGGATTTAATAAGTACATGCTACGGCACATCCCTGAGGTCATTAGTGAAAATAACAAACAATCCCACAGCCCTGGTTTTCCAAAAGAAACAACATATTCAATCACCCTCAGAGCAGGAAATTTTTCTCTTCGTTTTAAATGGAATTTCCTGTGGTTCAGTTTGTGCCCATTGCCTCTGGTCCTGGCACTGGGCACCACTGAGAAAAGTCTGGCTCTGTCCTCTTTGCATTCTCCCTGCAGGTATTTATATACATTGATGAGATCCTCCTGAGCTTTTTCTTCTCCAGGCTGAACAGTTCCAGCTTTCTCAGCCTCTCATAGGAGAGATGCTTCAGCCCCTTTGTCATCTATGTGGCCCTTCACTGGACTCTCTCTGGTATATCCATGTTTCTCTTGCACCGAGGAGCCCAGAACTGGACACGGCTCTCCAGATGTGGCCTCACCAGTGCTGAGCAGAGGGCATCTATCATCTCACTCAACTTGCTGGCAACACTCCTAATGCAGCCCAGGATCCCCATTTGCCCCCTTTACTGTGCAGGCACTTTCTGGCTCATGGTCAGCCTGGCGTCTACCAAGACCCTGAGGGCCTTTTCTGCCAAGTTGATGTCCTGCCTGTTGCCCCCCAGCTGTGCCTGTTTGTGGGGTTATTCCTTCTCAGATGCAGGACTTTGCACTTCCCCTTGTTGAACTTCATAAGATTGCTGTTCACCCATTTCTCCAGCCTGTCCATGCCCCTCTGGATGTCAGCACAACCCTCCGGTGCATCAGCCACTCCTCCCAGTTTTGTGTGAGCAGCAAACTTGCTGAGGGTATGCCCCAACATCCAGATCACTGATGCAGATGTAAACCAGTATTGGCCCCAGTACTGACGCCTGGGGCTACCCTTTAGCAGCCTCTAACTGGACTTCATGCCATTGATCACAACCCATTGAGCCAGTTTTCAATCCACTTCATAATCTACTTATCTAGTCTGTTATCTCATCAGCTTGTCTATGAGGATGCTACAGGAGAGAGTGTTGAAAGCCTTGTTTATCTTGATTTAGCAATATCCACTGCTCTCCCCTCATCTGCAGAGCTAGTAATTTCAACGCAGAAGGCTATCAGGTTATCAGGCATGGCTTCCCCTTTGTAATCTATCCTGACCGTTCCCCAGTCATCTTCTTGTCCTTGCTGTGTTTGGAAATGGCTGCAGGGATTATTGGCTCCATCACTTTCCCAGGGATCAAGGCGAGGTAAGACCAGCCTGTACCTCCCCAGATCTTCAGCTCCTGCCCTCCCAGAAGGCAGGAGTGACACTGGCTTTCTTCCAGACCTCAGGAAGACCACCATGAGCTGATGGAGAATAGCCTCACAGGCTCATCGCCAGCTCCCTTGGCACTCGTGGATACTCCCTATCAGGTCCCATGGATTTGTGAATGTCCGGTTTGTTTAAGGGCTCCCTGACCTGGTCCCCCTCCGTCGGTGTAAGTCTTCCTTGCTCGCGACCTTTCCCCCGGCCTCAGGGTCCTGAAGGCTGGCAAAGTAAAGACCAAGGTGAAGAAGGCATCGAATACCTCAGCCTTTTCCATGCCCTGTGTCACCAGGGACCCTGCCCCATTTAGCAGTGGGCTCATATTACCTCTTGCTTTCCCTTTGCTGCTGATACACTTGTAGAGGCCCTTCTTGTTGCCTCCAGATTCAGTTCCAGATGGGTTTTGGCTTTCCTATCCCCACCCACACCTATGTGCTTGAACCTTGTCTCTCTGGTCCTCCTCCACCACCTGCCCTTACTTCCACCTCTTGGATGCCTCCTCTTCATGCCTGAGCTCAGTTAAGAGCCCCTGGCACACCTATACAGGCCTCCTGCTGCCTTTGCTTGACTCCCTGTTCATCAGGATCCTTGAAAATCTGCCAGCTCTCCCGGACCTCTCGTCTCTCCAGGGCCGTGTCCCACAGGAACACAGCTCTCCAGCCTAGTGGCCTTCAAGACATTCAGCTGGACAATGAGCTACCTCATCCTGAGGGATCAATTAAAGCCTTGACACATGAGATTCAAAGCCCCTCAGCTGACAGCAACTCGTTATCCACAAGTATCTGCACTCTGCTAAATTCCCAGCCTCAATAGCCTCCTGCGCCAATGACTTCCACAATCTAATTACAGTGCATGCAGGCATGTATTTCCTTCCATTAGCCTCCTTTATCATTTCTGGCTGTGTAGGAGTCAGGAAATGGAGAAAAGGATTTTCTAAACTAATTTTTTTAGCCAATTCATAATTATTTATAAATGTTTCCCCATGGTGCAATGCATTTTTTAATGATGATGATGTCCAGGAATTGGCAAGGCCAGAGTTTTGGCTGGCCCAGAGTTTCAGATATTTTAAATAAATTGGGGAAAAGGTGACTGGAGAGGCGTTAGGTCAAACAGTTCCGGATCAAGTGCCTTGAAAACAGGATCCAACATAAAAGTTTAAAAAAAGTGAGCATTTAAACAGTACAGAGCAAGAAAAGGGGAATTCCTTAGATCTCAGCACCGTTCCTTTCTACGTATGTTCTACAGCAGCCTCTCTCTCCAAAGACAGTGACTGTCAAGTAAAAATGCAAGCCAGGCCAGACACAGGATAGGAGAGAACACTGCCACTGAATAACTAAAGAAAATGTACCAGTACTAGAAAATCCCATCATAATTATCTCTAGCAAGCCCTACAGCAAGGCCAGGCTCTCTGCTTAAGTCACTTTGATAAGCAGAATGTGGCAAATGGTGGGAAAACTACCATTTCCTCAGCCCAATGGCTCCCTGGGCTCATTCCTTGGGGCTTATAACATGCACCTCATATGAAGCCTGTTTTTGCTGGCCTTCACCCTCCAGCTCGTGCGTCTCAGTAACGCAAGTGTGGCCGAGACTGTCCCCCAGCTCCCCTCAGCATCCCCGAGGAGGGTTGGCACAGTGAGGACGCTGCCAGCTTGCCCAGATCCTGAAAGGAGCCAGGTGCCCCCCTGCAGATACCCGTGCATCCCTCTGTGGTCCCACAGGCAAGAGTGGGTGGCCTTGCTGTGGGTGCCTAAGGTGGGCGGATGAACTGCAATCCTATGGATGTGCTGCCACATCAGCAGACACCACTGGAGGTCAGTGTGAGCTAGCGCTGCCGTGGAGTAGGATAGGGATGGGGATCCTACTGCTCTGGCTATACTGGGGTCCCTTTTTGGTCTCCCCAATCCCTGTTGAGATAGCTCTGGACACAGGAGCAAGTCGCTGGGTTCCTCTTCCCCCACAGTCGCTGATGTGGGGTGGATGCACACAAACGCATGCGGACGCACATACACATATTGATTTTCATGCATGGTTAGAGAGCTCACGAGGGGAAATGATGCTCCGGCTTGGCAACGGGCAGGATCAGGCTCCAAACCTGCTGGACACGTTGCGCTGCGTCAGTGACCACAACGTACTTTGGGGCAGCATCCCTCCACAAGCAACAGGGGCCGAAAAATCCACCACAGTCACACTACGCTTCGGCAAAAGGACTACAGAAAATGAGGAAGATGGTTAGTAAACAGGAGCAGCAAATTAAATCCTTAGAGGTGCCGTGGAGACCACCAGAAAAGACCATGCTGGGCACATGGACTGTTAGGAAAGGTGCGAGAAAGGGTGCGAGGAAATTGGTACAGCTCAGCAGGGAAGAAATATATTGTTGCATTAAGATATATTAGCACAGCGGGCTAAGAAGGCATGACTCAAAGACAGATCTGTTTCCAAACACGGAGAACAGAAAGGCTCTTCACCTCAATCAGATTAAATGCAATAATTTAATCAGGCAGGCCAGAAATTGATCTGAGGGGTAACTGGTTAAAGGCATCAAAGTTGGCACCCAATCGTTTTTTGAGATGCATTAGGAAGAAGGCAGGCAGTCTGTGGGGCACTGATGTGTGGAAGGAGCACTCAAAGAGGTGGTTGCTAAGAGGATTATTTGCATTAGAGGTAGCAGAGGAGGGGACCCTCTTCCACATGGATTCAGCCTTTCCCAGATCTCGGGACCCCCTGGACTCACGCTAACCACCCTCCTAACTCTGTCCTGGAGAAAGGAGCCCGGCAGGAATTCAGGGGAAGGGGACCAGGACTCACAGTGGGCTGGCAGAGCAGGAGGCGGATGTCGGCGACGTGGGCAGGCGGGGGCTGCAGCTTGGCACACACATAGATGACGTTGGAGAAGAGCCGGTGGAAGCGGAGCTCCACCCGTGCTCCGCAGGGGAAGGTCATCACTTTGCTCAGCGGCTCTGGAAGGGAAAGCCGAGAGGGGTGAGCTCCTCGGAGAGTCCTGCCAGCACCTCCCTGCAGTTCCGTGTCCCTAAGGGACACGGGGATCCCCAGCCTTCTCCCCCCGACTCACACTCTGCATGGCTTACCACGGCTGCGTCCCCAGCGCTCGACAGCTGCTCCCAAGGGACAGATCGGGTCTGTCAGGGACCGGGCGTCCTTCAGTGTGTGTTTGATCTCCATCACCTGCTTCCCAGTGACCAAAGGATCCCGGCCAATGTCTGGGGGGAGAGAGTTTGGAGGCGCAAGGGTCACGTCAGATTCCTTAATTATCTCCCTACCGTTCAGACCCTATATGAACATCTCTGCACTGCTGCCAGGTTACTAAAAGCTCACGTGGGGCATGGCCTGTGATTTGGTTTTTAGGGAGGGATGGCTGGCTGGCTTGGATGGGGTGCTGTAGAGCCACCCAGTTTCTGCTGCTATCTCTTCTCCCCCCTGCTACTGAAGCAAATGGTTTCTAGCTTGTCCCTTACCTTCTAACACATCCTCCAGCATGTGCGTAACCTTCTTCTCTTGCAGAATATGTTTCTTCAGATATTTCATGAAGATCCCAGAGCTGAACTCCCCATCTTGCAACTCATAGGCTTCTGCATCTTCGCTCCTGCAAGAGTAAGGGCTTGTCCTCACATTTCTGCAACAGGCACAAAGCCCTGGGGGTAAGTCAGGGCTTGCCGACTCCATCCAACCTCTGTTGGCTGAGTCTGAGTTACCTCCTCAAGTAGTGATGCAAAGTGCTTGGTTTTGGCCCAGGAGAGGGTGGGAAGGGTACAGGATGGGACAAAGGAGAGGAGGGGGATGGGAGAGGAGAGCACAGCCTCTTTTGCCAGCCTAGGTGGGTGACAGCAGTTGAAAAGCCAGTGGAACTAGCACTGGAGCATTAAGCAACACTCATCATCTCAGGAAGCTTCAGGTGATTTGCTTGCTCATAGCACATGAACCTTGGGAATCAGGCTCAGGCCTGGAAGGAAAGGTGGCAGGAGGTGATGCCACCTTCACGCATAACCTGTAACTGCTGCACAGACTGCCATCAGAGATGTCAGGAGGAAGGAAAGAAGTGCCTGAACAGCAAATGCTGGAGATGGAGGGTAAGAGCCAGAGGAAACATGAGAGAAGCCCTCTCAAGCTTCCAAAGCCACTGTGTATGAAAGGATGTGAGATGTGGTTGTGCCAGCACTTGCTCCTGTGTCATGGTGTGGGGACGCCAAGGTGCACTTACGTGGCGTAGCCATAAACGGTGTTGCCCCAGGGCTCCAGGGGCTGCACCTGGGAGAGGGCACAGTCCGGGTTGTACCTGGAAGAAGAGACGAAGGCTTGAGTCGGTGTTGAGGACACCTGCCAGCATATGCCTGGAGGGGAGAGAGCCCATGTGCTCCACCAAGTCCATCTCCTATGGATGGCAATAAGATCAACCCTCGCATCAAATATAACCACCCGTATTACTTGGGCAGCAACGGAGGCTGAAGGTAGGAGTCCTATGAAGAACACAAACCACAGGAAAATGAACAGATAGGGACAGCTTCGACCTCTCTGCACTGGTGAGCTGCTCCCTGCCCTGCAAGTGAGCCTGGAGCTGTGGGTGCAACCACACCTCCTCCCTCCTGAGGCTGGTTTTTAACAAATCCAGGCAGCAGCACGGTGCAGAGAACATATGGGTTCAGTGTGGCCCAAGGGACAACTGTCCCTAAAGAAGTCAGAGGTGTGCACATCGCATGGCTACGGCTCAACTGCCTGTCCCAGGGGTCTGGGGTGCCCCACAAGTCCCTTCCAGATCATGCACATGTACACACCTTTTGCTGCAGGAAACCAAAGCACACTATGGCTGATACACCTCCAGATCTCACCGAGATAAGATCAGGACATGCACCTGGGTCCTGAAGCCCAAAACCAGTCCTGCCACCCTGGTCTAGATGCAGCTCAATGAGCACAGCCCCTGTTACTTCCAAAATCAGGTAGATCTGGGGCGACAGCCCTGGCTTCCACCAAAAAAGGTATTGTGGTTGCACTTAATGGCCAAGCCTTGTCCATCTAACTGCAGCCAGACTGAACAGCATGGGGACTGGCTGCCTCCAGTTTTACACCAGTGACTTGGAGCTGTTCCCAACTGCACAGGGATAAGAGCCAGGCACAGAGGCAGCGTTATTCTCTGTTATTCAATTCCAGCACAGTTTCCTGAGGCTGAAGCTGGCACATTAAGGAGAGCAGAAGGGATGGTTGTACTGCCAGCAGCCAGCATGTTACCTACTGCTGGTGGTGCAGTCTGGAGATGTTTAATGGCAGTATTCATCTGGCTTGTGTAAGTTTTCTGTAGATGATCAGAAGAGAAAATGTGGAAAAGGAGATATGCTTCTAAATATGAACACTGAGCAGAGAGATTTTTCTGCTCCTCAGCTGCTCCTAAATGAATGCAGAAATCTGGGATTCCAGGTCCAAGGAGAAATGAGAGATGGGGTCCAAAAATAAGCTGAGGTCCTGTTGTCCCCATTCTGGGGACATCTACCCAAAGCTGCGCAGACACGAGTTGATGTAAACCTTTTGTGATGGCAACAGCAGGCATCCACAGCTCTGGCAAGGCCAGCTAGTGCCTGCGGTGGAAATGGTCCCCTGTGGCTGTGATCCCCTGACCCAGCAGAAGACAAGCTTCAGCAGAGGCATTTCCAGACTGTGACTGAACACAGGGAGAGACCTGACAGTGGAGAAGGTAGCAGCGCTCCCTCCTGCTCCAGACCTAAAAAAAGTCTGTTACACAGCACATCTCATGCAATCTGTTTCTGATCTGCATCCCAGATAGGAGATGGTGTCCTCCTTCTGCCCTAAATGGCACATGCTAGAAACCCTCATAAATCAGGGAATTCCTGGAAGAGGCAATCACATCCACCCAAAATCAGCACATAAATGTATGAGGCTACACACAGGCTCCGTGTTCCTGGTTCCTCCCCTGCTGAAGCTGAACATCTGCTACCACTTGGCAAAGGGGGACGTGTTTCTCATCGCTTTGGCATTTCTGATGCTGACATATGGGGTGAAGAGATACTCCGGGTAAGATCCTTCTTAGCACAGACACGGTTCATGCATGGCTGAGTGAACTGTCGGCAGACTTGCAGCATCAGTCCAACCAAAAGGGCATTGGGAAAGGAGGCCCCAGGAGCCTTGTTTTACAGAGCTGTGTAAACACACACAACTATGAAATCCAGATGCTTTGCTGAGCTGAAACAGTGACTTCTCAAGAAAAATGAGCTCAGGAGAGAACTTCTAGAGCGATCACCCATGAGCTCAGGGATAACACCTACTGCACTAAGTGCTGTGCTTGCTGTGGGAAAAGGGAGGAAAGAAGTGTGAGGTTTGGGGGAGGAGAGAGAACAGCCACACAACCATGCCTAAACGTCACATCGCATCCTTTTCCCAGAGTGCCATTAAGGCTCCAGTGAGCACTGAAACCTCTGGCAATGCCAAGAAAGGAGACATCAGCTCAAAAGCTATTTCACAGACTGTGACCATTCCACACTGCCTCCCCACCACACACTGCTCTCGGATGGGCCACCAGCAGCCCAGAGGCACACTAGCCCAGTTCCACCAGTTCAGCCGTGAGAGAGGTTCTCCCGCACAGCTTGCAAGCCATCCCCTGCCTAGTATCAAGCTGGGGAGAGCAGCAAGGTGCTGCCATGTGCTGGGGAGCACTTGACAGTGCAGGAAAGCAACATGCTCTGCTCTCAGTGGCAGCGGCGAGCAAGAAGGGGTGAAGGGGATGATTCCCTACGGGGCATTCAGGGCAGGTATCAAGGGACATCAAGCACCAGCAATGCTGGTGACTCAGAGCTGCGGCAGCAGCGTAGATCCCAGTGCAGCCAGCTTGTAAGCTCTTCAAAGTGAGCATTCCCACCTCTGCAGATAAAAAGCATCAAAGATTTAACAACTTTCCAGGGACTGGCAGCTCTTTCATGGCAGAGATCTCAAAATCCCCATTGTCTTTCTGGTCCTTCTCAGTGCAGGAACCACAGGAGGAAGAGGGAGACTTTTCTGCATTTGCCCTCCAGGTCTTTTCTGACCTGTAAATCTGCCTCAGGAGACTGAAATAAGTGAACTAGTGACAGCTTCTGCGGGACATTTTCCCTGCTGAAAGTGGGCAAGCAGTAATTTTCTGCAGCCTACGAGCTGCAGGATAGAGATCTGCAGGCCAAGGGAGGATAATGGGCTTTTCACAGACAGAGGGAAAAAGCTGATCTCTGACGTCAGCAGCAGCCTGGGTCCCACTTCACGACGTGACCACTTCAGAAGCATTTAAGGCCAGTAAAACCCAAGTAGCACAGTTTAAAATCTTCTCCCCATCATGTTGCACTCTTCTCATAGAGATGTTAACAAGAACGCAGACAGGAGAAGAGAGGTGAGCTAAACAGTTCCAGCCTGAGCACATGGGCAACACATGAAAACACATGGAAGCATGAGGTCAACGACGTGCTGCTACAGCCTGCCAGGTTGGGTGGTTCAGTGCAGGGGGTTGAAACACAAAAAGACAAACCCCATGCCGAGGTTCGTCCAACTGTTTCTGCCAGGGCAGAGCCATCCCTCCTCAGGATTTAAGTAACTCGCCTGTGTTTGCCAGGCTTCCTCAACCCAAAAAATCAAGGCAGGGTCTCCAGTCCCTTCTCCGCAGATCTCAGGCAGCATCTGATGCTCTCTGCACTTAATACGTGACCAACTGGTCTTCCCAGGACATCCTGCAAGACCTGACAGTCTTGCTGATTTTATGATGCAGCCCAGTAAACTTTGACAGAGGCCTGGCCTCAGCACCACAACGAGGGACGTGGCCCTGGCAATCCACAGGAACACCCCCCGTGGCTGTGTAGAAGCCTGCTGCTGGAGCAGGGGCTGAGGCTGGCAGCCATTTCCCCCGACCCCTCCGAATGCCACACTCGGCCCGTTCCGGGCGAGGGAGGGGGTAAGAGCACCCTACCATTTCCTGCAAGTGTCCAGCAGGATGAGGTTCAGGGCCGTCTTCTGCTGCTGCATCTTCTGAAGGATCCTCTGCACGCTGATGCAGTTCTCAGGGGCGTAAGGTTGTGGAGCATCAATGGGGACCATGTAGTTCCTCCCTGAATGTTCGTACCCATGCCCGGCGTAGTAGAATATAGCTGGGAACAGGGAGAGGAGAGGATGAGTCATGATGTGAACCTGCGGGTCTGTAACCAGCTCCCCAGGGCCATGTCCCACCTCCTGTCCTGAAGGGATACTGGTGCAGGGCAGACCTACACCAGTAGCACCTATGAAACTGGAGCTACGTTGACCTCGCAATTTTTACTTTTTTTTCCAGTCCATTCCCTTCAGCAGAGTCAGAAGCAGCCCTGAGAGGCTCTCCTGTACTTGTGGTTTCCAGCACCATTTGTCAGCAGACCCCAAAGTCACGGGTTTTACACGTTTGCATAACCATCTGCGCTACAACACCCAAGCTCAGCATCTGCCAGGCTGAATGTCACCTTTGTACAAAGTTTTGGTTAATCATCAGCTCTTTGCAAGAATATGACAACAGACAAAGTATTTTACCATGATGAAAAATACATTAGCAGTCTTTTAAATGAGAAGCTCCTCAGCTTCCTAGTTTTGGAGGAGAGACTAGCATTAGATTAGGTAACGGGAAACACTGTCCAGATTTCAAAGGTCTGACTGTATTTACACACCTATAAGCCGGTGAAAAATGAGAAAGACAAAGAGAGATGAATTCTCCAGATGTCCAGAACATGTGGTCCACACGCTTCAACCACCTCAGAGCAGATACCAGCCCCATAAGGGGGGAAAGGAGTCCAACTCACCCAGGTATTGGTGGGAAGTCCAATACCCAACAAGAATTTTGATTTCGAGTTTGACTCTGAAGCGCATGAAACTTAGTGGTGGTTGCTGCCTTCACAAGGGATGGCAACACCAGGACATGCAGCTTGGAAAGTCAGAACTGAGGAGCTTGGCATGGCCCAAGCTGGTGCTTCTCTCCCACCCCTATATTTGGCAAAGGGCTTTCCTCCTGCACAGGGATCCCTGTGTGAGCTGTGGCTTCCCAAAGGGAAGCTGCACAGAGGCTGGCTACTTCTTCCCAGCACCGATGCAAACGCTTGGGGGGATGCTGGTGAAAGCCAGCTTGGGGAACTGAAATGGGTTAAAAGCAGCTCTGCGAGGTGATGCAAACAGTTGCACTACCACAACTGAGGGACAGTGAAGAATGAGAAGTCAGAAATGGGAACAAGTGGCTAAAAGGCAAAAGCAGGCGAAATTCTTCAGTCAGACTTGAGTAACCTCTCCTCTATTTTCCCTTCACTGTTCCTGCTCCTGTAGTTTGCAGGACACTTGCTTTGATCTCTGATGCTGCAGGGAATGCAGTGAATGGGGTGGGAGTTGAAGGACTGAAAGCATGATCCCATCGTATGGAGGATGGAAAGCACGATCTCATAGTTAAAAAGGCCTCAAGTCACTTTTGGTTTCTATTTTCAGAGAGGACAATGGAAAGTTACTCAAATGGCTGTTTTCCCAGGTGCCCACTAGGTTTGGGTTCCTCTTCTTGTGGATCTACAGAGACAGTGGGCCCTGATTTGCAGAAGTTTTAAACTTTCATAACCTGCAAATCAAAGCCACAAGAACCTCCCCTGCAACTACAAAAAAAAGTATAAAACATGAAGCCTTCTGGAAAAATCCGATGCAGGCGCTAGAGGTTTGGCCCCTCATGTCATCGAGCGCTGATGGCTTTTGTCCCTCTGCCTCTCTCATGTACGTGAAAGGGAGGTGATGACATCAGTTACCAGGCAGCATCACTGACACATGGAAAAACTGAAGTATTACAGAAAAGCCCACAAACAATGACTCAATCATCAAATCTTCTAACTTCTGAGTCTTGTTATGCACCCTGAATGCACAGCCAAGCGCTCCCCATGCTATATAAACCACAAAGACTCACATTCAGATCAAAAAAGACATGAGTTTCACATCAGCTGAGCAACTTTGCACACCTCTCCTGGACTTAATCCCTCCTCCTGAGCAGGAAAGCCAACAATTTGCCTAGAGAAGCAAAGGGTTTTTTTATTCTGAGCTAACATTTCAGTGCTCTTCCCACATCTCCTGAGTCAAAACTGCTGACCAGAGACACGCTTCCGAGTACCAAATTAAAAAGGGGAAGCTCCAGGCACTGTTTATAATACAGGAAATGTCAGCATGCATCTTAATTAAGGCATGACAGCATATCCCTAGTATTTCACCTGCAACTTTCTGCTCTTGTTGCATTTCTGACATTTTTTTGACTTAGGACTTTTTAGGACTCTCAAAATAACATCTGGGGGCATTCCTCGTTTGCCTGAGGGTTTCATAATTAGACCACTCAGGGCACGTTTAGGGCCTTCAAAAATCCTCTGCAGCTTTTCGAAGAGGAGACCTGGATGAAAAGCAGCCAGATGAGCCACCACCTCCATATGGTGAATTAGAGAAGCCTTTGGATGACCTTGAACATGCAGCTATACAATATTCCTGTGCCTGAAAATGAAACCAGTTTTTGCTCTGGGCTTGGGAAATCTCAGAGAAGGTTCAACAATAAGAAAGACAAAGTGCTGCAATGGGGCAGATAAACCCAGGCAGCATTTTGGCTGGGGCTCAGTACTGGTTGAACAGCAACCCTGGAGATAAGGGCCACAGTGGACACCATGCTGAAGGTGAGCCAGCACCAACTGGGGACAGAGCTGTGCCAGGAGATGCAGGATTACCAGGGAAGCTGTCACCACTCTCCTTGGCCCTGAGTAGGCCCCACTTAGATTCTGTGTCCAGTTTTAGGGATCTCAGTTCAAGAGGAAGGTGGAAAAGCTGGAAAAAGGCCAGCAGAGGCTACTAAGATGTTGGGGCCCAGGGCCTAGGAGGAGAAGGAGAAGGAACTGGGCTGAGACAGCCTGGAGATGTGGATGAGGAAGACGGCCTACAGTTCCTGGAGGTGCAGTTACAGAGACAACAAAGCCTAAATCTCCTCACTGGTGTAGATCATACAACATGGGGCAATGAGCACCAACCCATGTTTGACTGGAAGAAAGACTTTCCTGGAGAGTGCTGCAGCCTGGGACAGGCAAGTGGATAAGTGGTGGGTTCCATGGCCGGAAGTCTTGAAAACGAGATAAGGAGAGCTACAATCGACCCTGACCTTGTATTGATGGCTCCAAAATTCCTTCCCACCAACCTCTGTAGGAGAGTGAATCACAGACAGGTCAGTAAGGACATGCAAGGGGAGGTCAGCCACCCAGAGAGCTCTGCAATAAGGAGGTCTAGGGAGGTCAGACACATCTTTTTCAGCTCTTATCAGTATCCTGAAGCTAAATAAAACTCTAGAAGCAACAACAAGCACTATGCTCAGACACTAACCCACACGGCTAAGCCCTCTCTTCTGATCTGCACCAGCAGAAGGGAGGCATGAACGCCTCAGCATCTCTGCTGCTGGAGTTAAGCTTCAGGAGACAGCCAGACTCACTTCTCAGGTGCGCTGACAGATGTGTCTGTGTTAGACCAGAGTTTCTCACTTCAGCCCAGTGACAGCCTTTCACTGATCAGCCCTCTCCTTCCAGCTCCCTGCTTCACTCCGTATGTCTACACGAAGCTCTCCTGACTACACAGGAGATGGTACCTCCAGGTTCCTCGAACAAGAAAAAACAGGTAGAAGCACCACGATGCCTATGTGGAGGTGCACGTCTGACACATGCACGTGGACATACAGGATCAGCTATCACAGGCACCCCTGGGGTCTTTGTAGTTTTAACAGGCTGCCTAGGTTGTTCCTGGAGCTGCTGTCTCACCTCTATCTTCCCATGTGTACGAGTTATGTGAATCCAAAACTTCCCAGTCAGTTCTAGATGTTTATCCTCGAGCTAGTGCCTTGAAAAATCGATACACAGGGTTTAGGAGGAGTTTTTAGCTTCTTCCAAATGTGTGTTTTTATTAACAAGATAAGTTCATTTCAGTGATTTGTACTTCACCTGATTCTTTTGATTTTATATAAGGAAAACAGCTGAAGAAACGCTGGAGGAGGCACCACACTTCAGACGGAGAAACCCTGGGGCAATCAGCAGGCAGACTGACCCAATACCCCACCATTAAGTCTGGCTGCCACCAATTACAGCAAGAGTCCTGAACTCAATTGTGCTGCTGGGACCAGCCTGCACTGGGGTTCACTGCCTCCAAATAATAGTAGACCACTCATCTTAGAAAGCTGTAAAGAAAACCACCATTCAGAGAAGGCTAAGCCTAGCAAACACTTAAGACTTATCAAGGTTCAGTAACTCAGCTGTTAATGTTTTCCCTGCCAGTGCACAAAATCAATTTTGCCAGGAAGGATCAGTGGCCATGAATTCAGAAAAGCACTAGAAGTTTAAATAAGGCATGACAGCATGAAAGCTTTGCTGTTTCCAAATATTTTTTCTCTCCAATGCTTATGAAAACAAGGGAAGCACCATAGATAAAACGCCATTTGGTCCTCACGTGCCACAGACAGAGAGCAGAAATGGCAGCACCATGGAAAAAGCATAGCAGCCCCTCTGGGATGACTGTGGCCTGGGCGAGGAGGTAAAGCCTGAGATGCAAGGGGATTTCAGAGAGCAACCACTAAAGGAAGCTGCAAGTGAAGTCATAGGAATACCCTGTTATCAGATGACGTGCTCAGGCAGAGATGCAACAACCGTGTAGTGCCCTTCCCCGCCAGCTCAGCCTCCCCAGCTGAGTCAGTGCTTCCCGGAACACAGCAGCTTTGCAGTGCTTCACTTGTGGCCATGTCCCTGTCCATTGCACAACCTCCAAACTTCAGGCTGAACACCAGGCTGGAATTGACCCACGCTGCCTTTTGCTGCCTGAGTGCCCTGGTATGCCACACAGCTGGGAGGGTGGTAAAGATAAGTCTCGCACTGAGGTTTGGAAGCGAAAAAAAAAAAATCTGCAAGGTGTTTTCAGGATATCTGTCTGTCTGGGAGAACCTCAGAAACCCCAGAGAAGCTACCGTCACTACCAGATCTGAACATCTGCTTTAAGACCCACAAGATCTGCTGGTTGGTTTTGTGTTTGAGGAACACTTCCCACGGAGGACAGCGTGCGATCAGCTCAATGCCCAACCTCAAAGCCACCTGCACCTGGGAATGCTCTTCTGCAAAGGGCTGTCAGAGGCCCAAATTAGACCATCAGGAAAGAGAAACAAGAAAATCATAGCCAGCTGTAACAGTCACCACTCAAAAGGAGCTCCCCTCCTCACAAAGGAGAGTGGTGGGGGCAATCAACAGTCAATCCCCCTGATTTTGTCATCTAAAGCAAAATCAAAACACCATCTCCCATTTGCCATCAGAAGCACTGGCTCCCCAAAACCTCAGCATGAGACCATACTGTTGGAGGTAAGCGATGTGATGGAGAAATGCCTACTTTGCCTCCCTGTAACCTGGCCAAAACTAAACGGTGTTTATCTAGGGGCTTCTGCCAAGCCTGGCACTGCTGCACACTGTGCTGCAGGTTGCCCTTGCGCCCCGCAAAGGCAAGTTCAATTTCTTCTCTTTTAATTCAACAGCTGATCAGAAAATTTCCAAATCCCTGCTCCTCCCTGGCATCAACCATTGTCACCCGCACATCAGCTGCTGCCGGCTCAGCACTAGCACGTAGCTGGACTGGCTTTGCCTTACCGTAGACTCCCTTCCCCAGGAGCTGCAGGAACTGACTGACTGCTGTCACCATCTCAGTCTTGTTCAGATCCAGAAGGGAGACAACCTGGAAGCCCAGCTGCTCCAGAAGAAGACTCAGCTCAAACACATCTGTGACAGGAGCCATGAGGCTGGGATGGTGCTGGTAGCGGTTGTTGCCCACTAAAAGCGCTATCTTGCCTGTAGCTAAAAGAAACAAGTGACAAAACTGTAAACACTCAGCAGGAGGCAAGGTTTCACCTCCTTCTGTTGAAGTGAGGATATGGGAAATCTCTTCTTACGTCTAGGCAGGAAGGATAGACCCTATGCTGCTATAAGCCGGGAATGCCCTCCAGAAAGCCACTGGCTTTCCGAACACTTTGACAAAATACGCAAACCATCATTTTGAAAGAAAGACTTGAAAAGTTTTCACTTGACAACCAAAATCCCAGAAGTGCAGGAGGTTATTCAACACTTCCCTACTGCAATTGATGTCTTGTATGCCAGTGGTGCCTGGCAGGGGGACGCACTGAGCCAGCCTAGGCGGTCCTTTCCCCATGGGGCTGAAGGAGAGAAGCCCCGGGCTCCTCCTCATTTTACCCCCACCTTCCACTGTAGAAAAACTAGATTTATGCCTGGCTTTTAATTAAGGGAATAATTGCTCAGGAAGAAAAGATGACAATACTCACCAAAAAACTTTTCAGAGCGACATGTGCCTGGAAAAGAAAGAGGGAAATGATAAGCTTGTGCCCAGCACTCAGCACCCCAGTGTCAGCTCTCAAACCTGCTCCAACATCCCCTGACAATGCAAAGCTGGATCAAGCACCACAGAGCATCCACACAAACGATGCTCCTTGGGCAAGTTCTTCGTAGCCTGATTGCTAACCTTAAGGACACTGGTCTGGTGATTTTATCCTGCTCGATATATGAAATCCTGAGCATCTGGGAAGCAAAGCTTGGAGAAAGGGCAGGCCAGGGGAAGGAGGGCCAGCATGGAGGAGCTTCTACCCATCTGCAGGTCTGTGCTACTTGTACCAGCCTCGCCTGGTCTGCCATGCTTCCTGAGATGATTTGCCCGCTCCCTCGCTGCAGGGAAAGCAAAGGAAACACTCAATGACTCAAGGTCAGCATAGGCTTCAAAACTTCTCCTCATGAGCGATCAAGGCAGAGGAAGCTGACTGTTTGCTTTTGATTGTGATAATATTCCCAGAGCCTTTCACCACCCTGCTTTGCCTTTCCCTGCCTCTTAGCAGTTTTGGCTCAGAAAAGCCGCCCCAGATGTGATGCAGTTTTGTGAGCTCCATAAGGTCCCCTGCCCAAGTGCTCCCAGCCTCTTAAAATCATCATTACCCTAACAGCTCCAGCTTTTCCTGTTTAAATTAAAAAAAAAAAAAAAAAAAAAAAAAAAAGTCCCAGGAGACCCTAAAACCCTACAGGCTCTAAAAGAAGAAATTAAAGGCAATATTTTTAATTGCATAAATCTCAGGGGTCTGGAAAACATTTAGCACCTGAACCAGTGTTGCTAATGCACCAGGGATGCCTGGGAAGCCATCAGAACAAGCCTCTTCATCCTCCTCTGCCTCTGACATGGCTGCCTGTTGCACATTAAAGCTACCTAGCTTCATCATTTTGAACCCAACCTAATCCCGCGCCCCTTTTTCACTGCCTGCCCCTGCCTTGGATGCTGTTTTGCCAGCTGCAAGGAGGCAGGGAGAGTGCTCTCTGGCTACACAGGACTGATTTGCACTCTGGAGCAATTTTAAAGCCAGTCTAAAAGGCAAGAGGAGAAGCTTGTGGCACAGAAAAATCTCTAGATGGAGTAAAGAGCCAGCAAAGCTAGCCTGTGCTATTTCTGTCTCAGGCAGGGCAAGGGCAGGGGGCCAAAGCAGCCGTCACACTGAGGGTGGAGCATGCCCGAGGCTCTGGGGACCCATCTTCTCCCTGGGATCCGTCAGCTCACGCAGCATCAGGCCTGGGCTGCCAGCCCAAGGGGCCTGAACCTTCCCGAAATAAATACTATCCTCTCCAGCTCTATGTGTCTGAGCGCATCACTTCATCTCAGCAAGGCTGTAAATGAGTTTTAGCGTGGGAGCCTGCTGTGATTTGGCCAAGGAGCTATTAAGCCAGCACCGTTGCAAGGCAAGAAACCCCCGACAAGCACCTCGGAGCACTCACCCTGCCCTAATGTGGCAGGTTTCCGACAGACCGCAGGACCAGCAGCATCCCACACCGCCCTACAGCGGATCACTGGGTTGGGTTTTTTTTTTTCTTTTACAGATGTCACTTCCCTCACTACCTCTGAACCCCGTTACCAAGGAATCTTATTTATCGCGGTCTGACACACGCCTGTGCCCGCCGCTTGGCAGGGCTTGTGCAGCACTGCTGAGATCATTGCATCCAGTATATCCAGGGTGTGAAAATGCTCTCTGCAGGCTGTTCCTGTGACAGCCGCTGCAGGACTGCCAGGACACTCCAGCTTCCCTGCAGAGCCCCATGCTGCCTCTCTACTCTGAAGTGTCCCACCTGCAGCTCCCTGCAGAAGCAGGATTTAAAACCGGTGGCCTTTCTTTTTGTTAATAAAAGCATGTAAGCTCTGCCCAAGCTGGTGGAAGGTGCAAGAGTCGCAGCCACGCACCCTACTTCCCCTAATCCCACACCCCAGAGCCCAGCTGCCCCTGCACGGATTGAGCCACAGGGTAACAGGACAGCACTGGGCTCCTTGTTCACCAGCTTGGCACTTCCAGGCGAGAGCACCAACTTCCTTTCCGCCCTCTAATTACTTTTCACCCTAGAAGGTGATTTGCAGCAAAGCAGACGTGGGTTGTCTCTGCTCACCTATGTGAACATCCACGGCATTGGTCCAGTGCTCTCCGTGGCTATTGGAGGCACAGCAGAGGTACGTGCCAGCATCACTGACCTTTGTGTGGGTGATCTAGACAGATCAAAAGTTAAATCACATTATTTATGGTGAAAGTGTGCAGCCCCCTTCCAGTATCTGCCAAAGGCACCCATGTTCCTGGAATTAAAAGGTTTTTTTCTTGCTGTTCACCGAGACCTCATTCCTTGCCTCAAAAAGCTACGATTTCCCACGACTTTTGTCTTTCTAAGAAGCTCATTAAGGCCACCTTCTAAGGTCTGGTGCTAACCCCAGATTCTAGAGTGCAAGGATCCTCTGCCCAAACGCCTTCCCTTCTTTCCCAAGCAGCCCCAAAACCCTGCATCACAGCCATACTCTGCCTCAGGACCCACGCTAGGAGGACAGTGTGTGGCCAGCATCAGAAAGTTACCTGTTTCTCCTCTTAGGTGGCATTTTCCAGATTTCTGATCATGCCCATTTCTCTTTTCTAGCAAGTTTTCAACTCTTATTCATCTCCCTTGACATGGGAGAAGAATCAGAGCGGTATTGGCTGGTGAGGACCCCTGTGGTTCTCCAGCCCAGGCTACTGCTCAGAGAGGAACTAAAGCCACCACTGCACCAGGTTGGCCATGGTTTCGTCTAGTTGACTACTGAAAACCTCTGAGGACAGAGATCTCACTGCCTTTATGACTCCAGTGCAGTACCACCCATCTGCAAATGAAGAACCTCTTCCTAATCCCCAGCCTGAACTTCCCTGTGAAAAGTGCAATCTAGACCACTGTCCCCTATAATATCATCTACCACTACTGAGAAGAGGTTGGATCTCTTGTCTTCACTCCCCTTCATGTGATGCCCCAGAAGGAAATCTGCCTTTCTTGCTTCAAGAAGACAGCACTGATTTACATTCAGCCAGTGACCCAAAATAAACTCAGACCTTTTGCTGTCTCCCTGACTCTTTTCTGTTGGACTTTTCCTTCTAGTTCTCCTGCAGGCAGACAGCACTCCTGCAGCTCCACCACTCTGCAGTCCCCTGCACAGCCATACAATAGCTGTTCTTGTGCCACTGCTGTAAAAAGGCACAAGAGACGTGCTGAGAGCCCTTGACGCATCTGTGAATTGGTTACTTCTTAGGGAAACGTCCACAGCTTTGAAAGAAGACAGTAAAACGTATTCCCTCCTCACCCGGAGTCCTTCAGTCAGCTATCAAAGCAACAAGGGTGATACATGGAGTGCTTTCTCACAACCCTGCGGGGAAAGATGGCTGAGCACAAGGATGCTTCTCAAGGGCTGGAGAGGCAGGGAGGACAGGCAAGGAGAGCCTGCTTTCTGCTGGCGTTCACCTCATTGCACAGATCAAAGCATGTCTGAGCCCTGACAGGCAGATACAAGCCAGGCTTAAGGACTGGACCTGTCATGTCCAGGGTGACAATAACACAATTTTCAGCAGTTTCTCCAAGGTTTCTGAGGCTCTTCCATGCCCACTGTCCAGCAACGAGCTTCTCCCATCACCCACCTCAGTAGCCAAAGTTTCTGAACTATCCCAAGGCAACATTACCCAGAGTTTTTTTTTCTTCTGGTGTTCCAGGAGGTTCCCATTCCGGTACCACTGGTAGCTGGGGGCTGGGACCCCCATGGCAGCACACTGCAGCTGTAGCGGCTTCCCCACTTCCACCCTCTGCTCAGTGGGGTTGAGGACGATGACTGGTTCTCCTTGCCAGAGCCGAGGGGGCAGTCCTGTGAAGTAGTGACACAGAATTGGTGCTCCCTCCGCAAGGATGGAAAACAACGGTCATTTCTTTTCCCCTGTATAAGACCCTGTGCATACTGCCAGAAAAGCGAGCTTTTTCCACCTGCACCAAGAGATGCTGTCCCACAGGACAGCTGCAGCTGCCATGTCACCACTGCATCTTTCTGCTTTGGAAGCAGGGAATCCTTGAGAGCAACACTCGCAACAGTAAATGACACACACCAAAGCCCTGCCTCAGCCTTTCCAAACGGGATGCTTGCCCTTTCCGGCCTAGGGCACAGTCAACATGCTGAGGGCAACCACGCCCAGAGTTATTTTATTTTTTGCTCAGTTTGGAAATAGCCAGATTGCTTCTTCCAGTCCCTCTGCCCAACATAAATGGGCAAACACACAGTGTACCTCTGGGAAACCCATGGCGAGTGATCAGCAGGAGGAGCGGGTACATACAGCCAGGGTTATTGGGACCATGACAGGGACCTGAACCATCCAGAGGATGGATGCAGAGGTCTGGCCTAGGCCTGCAGGCTCACGTCTCTGGAGCAATCCTTCTGTAGTGTGATTTGCAAGCTGGGAAGACACACTGCCCTGAGAACTGCACAGCATCACTGTCACAAGGGTAGGCAAAGCATAAAATATAGAAAAGCTAGAAGACACGCTCGTACCTCTGGCGACACACTGGTGGACCTCCACCTTTACCCAGTCAGAGAAGATGGCATTTCTGTAGTGGTCATTGATTCTGCAGGTGTAGAGTTGGGTCTGCTGTGCAGTGACGGGCAAGTCTTGCTTGGTGGCACCAGGAATCTGGCGGCAGACAGACTAAAGGGAAAACACAGGCGGTGGGCAGTGAGTCCCCCCTCACTGCTGGTAGTAGAAGGCACCGGAAAGCCCCTTGTAAGAGCAGGAAAGCTGGGAATTCCTGGTTTCCTCCCCACCTCCAGCCACAGGGATGCTGAAGGAGATTTCCCGTTGCGTGTCCCTCCCCAGCATCTGCAGAAGCCCTTGGCATGCACATGCATCCTATCCCTCCTCTCCTTCTGGCCTCCTGGCTCCCACCAGGTCTGCTCGCAGGGGGCCAGCTCCATCACTGTGGGCAGGGACCCCCCCTGGTGCCATACCCAGGGCCCCCTCTGCTCCCGTCGCTACCTGGTGCTGACAAAACCACTGGTACTGCAGCGACGTGCGCCCCTCAGCTCTGCACCGCAGGGTGAAGGAGTATCCCACGGGGACGGAGACGGAGACTGGCTGCTCGGTGATCACAATGGCTGCGGAGAAACGGGACGTGGGGAAGGTGGAAACAGCTGGGCAGGCGCGACCCAGGGGTTCGCTCCCACTCAGCGGCTGGGCACCCCAGGCTGCAAGAGGGGGCCCCCGCCCCAGGAGGAAGGGAGGTTTGGAAAAAAACAGGGATGCCCGGCCTCCCGTGCCCCTCGGATACCCCGGGGCTTTCCAGGTGGTCCCTTGGGGCCCCAGCGCACGGGCCGAGGCGCTTTTTTTGAGCTGCAGGGCAAGCGGGATGCTCCAGGCCGAGCTGCCCCGCGGCTCCCGGGCGGCCGCTCACCTTCCTGCATCGCTCCACCGGCGGGTCCTCCCCGGCCCCAGCGGCCGCCGGCCGGGCCCGCGGCGGCTCCTCTCCCGGGGCAGCAGCGGCAGCAGCAGCAGCAGCACCTGAGGCGGGTGGGACGGCAGCGCCCGGAGCTCGGGTGGGCGGCTCGGGGCCGCCCGGCGGGGCCGCTCAGCCGGCGCGGCGGCGGGCTGGCGCGGCGGCCTGTGGGCCGGGCCGGGGCCCCAGCGGCCTTCCCGCCCGCCCCCCCCACCCACCCCGCGCGGGGCCGGGCCGCGGCCCGCCACTCACCTGCCGCCCGCGGACGGGCCCCGTGGGGGCCCCGCGCTTCCGCGCCGCCGGGCCCGCCCCGCTCCGCTCCCACAGCCCCACAGCTGGGCGGCGCCGGGGCTGCCCCTCGGCCCGGCCCGGAGCGCTGCGGAGCGGCGTGGGGGGGTGTAACCGCCTCTCGCTCGGGGACCGAGGCTGCCCGTACCGCCCTTGCCCACGCGTGTCCTCACCCCATCCCCACGGGGGTGTGTGTCGTGTCGTTGTCCGTCCTGTCCCGCCCCCCCCCCCCCCCCCCCCCGCGGTGTACCTGCCCACATCCCCACGGGTGTCCTCATGTCCTCACCCCCCATCCTCACAGCTGTCCTCCCCGCGGGGGTGTCCTCCCCTCGCCCCCACCGGCGTCTCTTACCCTCTTCCCCACCACCACCCTCGCTCTCATCCCCCACAGGCGGTCTCGCCCCACTCCCCACGCCTGCCCCTCACCTCTCTCCCGGGGGCCGCAGCCCCGAGACTCATGATGGAGCCACAGCTCTGCCGCCTCCGCTCCGCCGGGCAGGCAGAAACCCCGCCGGGCTGCTTCCTCCGAGAAATCCCCACGGCCGCGCCGGGGATCACGAGGGCCCCGGGGGACGTGGCGCTGGGCCAGCCCGCCCGGAGGTTGCACAAGCCCATCCGGGACTGGGCAGAACTGGGATGGCCGGGGGCAGCCGGCTCCCACGGGCGAAACGACGTGGCGAGTGAGCGTGGGGGCGCGTTACTGCTGCGCTGTGACTTCAGTTTATGAAATCTGGGCAAGTAAGGTCAGGCTCGTCAAAACAAAATTCATCGTCTTTCAAGGGACGGGAGGATCAAGTGGGAAAGAAGCTGAATGGAGAGGGTGGAGAGTGGCCGGGGAGTGACTGGTTGTCATTCCCAAAGAACTCTGAAGTGACTGGGCAGGGAATGTGACACAACACGAGTGGGGATGAGGCAGCTCTGGGCTCAGGATTTGAGGGGCCCCACTGAGAGGATCCCAGCCCGAGGGCAGACAAATTCCCACCAGGCTGGCTGCTCCCCAAGGCAACAGTCACGGGCAGCAGGTCCCCATGGTGCCAGGAGCGATGGGGACCAGGACTTCAGCATGAGGGGGACCGTGGACCGTCTGGAGAAGCAGCTGTGAGAGAGTCTTGCTCCCCTGCTGATATTTCTGCCCCCTGGGCTGCATCAGTGGCTGACGGAGGAAAAGCGAGGCCATCAGGGATGTCTCTCCCAAGTGCCTTCAGTGGCTGTGTGGAAGGGTGCAGGCAGGTCTCTGGGACGGTGGAGAGAAGCAGTTGTTGCTGAGAGCAGTCACGGATCAACAACTTCAGGTTCCCTAGGGAACCCAGGGCAGACCTGAGCCGTGCCGTAGGGTCAGAGGGACTAAGCAAGGTTGAGGGATGCACCTCTTGTTGCTGACTTTCTCTTCTAAGGGATGGTGAAGAAGACAGTAGAAAAAAAACAAACCCAACACAATTGGTGGGTGGAAGAGGGATTTTCTCCCTCCATGTCCTTTCCTCTGTGCAGGATGGGACAGTCACGCTGTGCTCCCGCAAAGATAGGAAAACGTGCTACACCCTATCCATCCAATATGATCCAGAGCAATCCCTGCTCCTACAGGGACTGGTCCTTTCCTTTCCTGGATACAGGGAAGGTGATGCTTAGCATAGACTTGTAGGACTGTTCTTTGTGCTCATCTCCTCAGCTGTCTCTGAGATCACACAGACTCTCCCTTTCCTTAATTTCCAGAGGGTCCAACCAAGCATTTGGAAATGCACCCTTGCAGTTTTCAAATAAACCTATTAGTGGGTTGCAAATGAAGGTTCTGTCTGAGTATGTACCAGTAGTTCCGTGTCGTGCCTGTGATGCAGAGTTCTTATAAATGCAGTGCAGGTAGCTAATAAAGATGATCATTAAATTAACCCCAGCACTTTCTTGGAGCTAAAGATGACAATTCTGGTTGACGCAGCATCTCTTCAGGCAGCTGGAGTTTGCTGTGCTCTCTCTGGGCTTCAGGGAGAGCATCTGTGCTGGGTTTGTGTGAGACAGCATCCTCCATCAAATACCTAGACAAAAAGTCCATCTTGCTTGTCCTCTGTAAGACCCCTGCCCTGGCACAGTCTGCATGAATATTTGGTGAAGAACCAGGGGTGAGAGCTTGTTGATATCATGGTGTAGAGAATGAAGAAGCCTGTGATTTTAGAAAGGGAGGAACCTATGGGTATGCATGCAGGGTGGGAAAGGGAAGGATATATTGTGTGACTCTTGCTGTGAGTCAGCGCTGGATTTGCAGGCAGAGGAGGAAAGCTTTGCTAACAAGGATTGAAGCCTTGTGGCTGGCTGGCTTAGGCTTCAAAAACTAAATGGTGAGAGAGAGTGTGTTTCCAAATGGAGATGGGAGCAGAGGGCACTGTCACTCTCCGTGAACAAAATGACAGGAGAGCAGATGCTGTAAGAGGAAACTCTTGTCTCAGTAAGGTGACAGGCACCAGAACCAGTCAGAACCTGAAAGGGCAGAAAAAAATACATTCACCGTGCATCTGGGGGGAGGATCAAACCCCACAGCAGGCTTTGTCTCACCACTGTCGAGCTAAGCCTGCGCTCACCATCCAGGTTTCCCCCCGCTACAGGGGTGAGGCACAGAACCACAGTATTTTGAGTGTGGGAAGGGACCTCTGGAGGTCTCTGGTCCAGCCTCCCACTCGGAGCAGGACATTGATCAGTTGCTTGGCACCTCATCCCATCCACAGTTGACTGTCCCAGGAGGGAGATCGCCCACCTTTCTGGGACCCTGTTGTACTGTTCGATCTCCCTCACAGGGCAATTTCTTTTCCTAACATCTAATCAGAACTTTCCTCCTTGCCACTTGCATTTGTTGCCTCTCAGGCTATCACTCTGCACCTCTGGGAAGTGGCTGTCTCTGACTGGTCTGAACCCTCCCATGAGGTAGTTGAAGAAAGCGAGGAGGTCTCCATTTAGCCCTCCCCCTGAAGACTTAAACCCAGTTTCTCTCATCCTCTTCTTCTGTGCCATGTGCCTAAGCTCCCTTAATCATCTTGGTGGCCTTTACCTGACTCACTCTAGTATATCGCTGTCTTTCCTGTATTTGTGAGTCTGAAACCAGACACAGTTCCAGGCCTGGCACAGAGACTCGCCTATCCTGAACACTCTTCTCAAGATGGTCTGGGCTCTTTTCTGTCTGATCAACACTCCAGAAGATAGGGCTCATAGTGACGGGATGGTAAAACAACATGTAATTCATGTTCTGGGACTTGAATTCAGGTTTCCTGAAGCTATGGGACCTGAAAGTTCTCCTCCTTTCAGAGAAAGAGGTGGGAACAGGTGAATGCCACCTTGGGTCCTCCCAGCCTCCTGCCTTCCACGTTTGGGCAGCAGCCAGGGCACAATGAAGGGTGTGAGATGGGGGCACACACAGAGTGGATATTCTTTTGTAGCTTGGAGACTTCTTGAACAAAAGGTAGTATCTTTGTCCTGATTAAACCTCAAGAGATTTTCCTTCCACAGATTTGTCCTGTGAGGTTTCTTAACCCTCACTGGCATTGAGCAGCCACAGCAACATGCAGAAGCAGCTTAATGCCAAGGTGAGGGAGGAAGCATCTCCCTTTTACTGATTTTACCTCCTGCTCATTTCACTTGATGCCCCTGGTCTTGTTCTCCCTGTCCCTCACAGCTGTGTATACTTCATTCGTATGTACCTCCTTTGTTCCTTCCAGGCTGAAGAGTTCCAGTCTATGTAGTTATTAATGCAGGAGCTATTCTGGTGAGCTTGAGGTCTGTTTTTTTTTCAGGTCTACTGTATTCTGTTTGAGATGGATTATTCCTGAGTGACATTAGTCCACACAGAGCTCACTGCTGCCTATCAAAAATAAGTATTGTTATTTCCCCTATGGATCATGTTACATCCATTTTATGCAATTTCATCTGATATTTTACTGCCAGGAGAAGGTGAGATCTTCAGTCAGCCCTCTGGGATCACCTTCTCTCCCTGTATTTCCTAGAACCACATTCAAACGTCTTCAGAGGTTCACCTCCTTTGCATTTGCCAAGACCAAGTAGCCTCTCTGGTATCACAGATCCAGCTATTTACATGCCTGATAATGTAATCACCTGCCACAGTGGCCTGCAAAAAAGCAAATAAACTCCAGTACCTATACCTGAGATGATAGAAGGCTCCTTCCAAAACATTTTTCAAATGCAAGTCTATCCCGAGATCTGAGCCGAGAAAAGCATTTCTCTGGGTCTTGTGTGGAGGAACTAAAAGTCTGATCGGGCCACTGTCAACCGACTGGATAAATCCAGATCTGGAGTGCTCAGGACCACATCATAACTACTGCAACCCCAAAAATCAAATTGCTGACCCAGTGTACACTACAGGTCAACAGGATCCAAGAAACTTTATATGAGAGTAAAATTCGCTTGGGGGTCCTGGCTTTGGATCTGGTGGCATCTGCAAGCACTGCTCTATTAGACGGCATGTCTGAATCTCCCACAGTCACCACCTCTCCCCGCAAACTTCTCCCCATATCCCTGGCCCGCAAATGTCACTGCCCTCTCATTTGCCCAGGCTTGAGCTTTTGCTGGGCTTGGCAATTCTCTTGGTGGATATCACTTTCTCCACATGCAGAGTTCTATCAACCTGATGTACACACTGTGTGTGCGTCCATGCACACCCCTGTGCCCGTGCATCCACGGTGCACACACTCTGTGTGTCTGTGCACGCCCATACCTGTATAGGTGGTGCACACACTGTCCATGCCCGTGAACTCCCCTGTGTCAGTCCCAATCCAAAATCACCTTCCAAATCACAGGGTTTTCTGGGGAAGAGGAAGCAGGGGTGTCCTGCACCAAGCGATCCCCAGAGCCCTGCTGCTTGCAGTTGCATTAGTTATCTCTCCTGGCCAGGGAAGATCAGCTCAAAGCCTGCTGTCTTTCTCGGTCTGGAGGTCTCTACCATCCTCTTCCCACTTCTGCAGCAGCCACTGCTGTGCAGTCATGAGCAGACAGCCGATGCACAGCAAATCTGCTCCATCCATCAATCCCGTGCTGGAGAGATGTGGTGCCACCAGCGACGTGCCTGCGGCGCACGATACAACAGCTTGACAGGCAAGACAAAGGTGGAACAAGAATAAATTCCATTTTATTACGTGTTATGTTTTCATTTGGTATTAAATCACTGCTGGTAATGGTTCGTGACATGTACCAAGCTTTTATAGCCCTCTTTTGTGCTGTCCTTTTCATGGAGACCAAATAAATGCCATCACAGACCTCCCGGGCGGCCCAGGATAAAAACCAGGCTGCCAAGGCGTGAGATGCTCCTGAGAGCGACGCGAGGGCACGGCTGCTGTGACCGCACAGAGCGGTGCCAGTGCCCGGGGCGGGGGCCTTGTGCCTGTGGGAAATCGGGGTGTGTGTGTGTGTGTGTGTGTGTGTGTGTTTTAGCTGATCCTGCCACATCTTCGAGGTGTGAGAAATCCCCTGAGTGGAGGTGTGTGTGTGTGTGTGTGTGGGGGGGTGGTTATGATAAAAAAATATGATAATAAAGTGCGCTT